TATAATAACATAAAATATGGGAATTGTAATGTCCCATTCTTTCCCTCCTACAGATGGAAGAGAATGCATAGTCTGCTGTGAGTGATTTTGTTTGGAATTAAGCTCATAACCCACTGGATTTGACACCTTCACATCGTTGACAAACTAACGCTAGTGTTTGGTATAGCAAAACAGAAACGTTATAAAAGGAAGTAGAAAAGCAGTAGTTTTCGTCAGTAATTTGGCGAATGGTCTATTTCATGTATGCCGAACTAAAGAGCAGATCCTATAGTTTAGTCAGGTTTCATTAGACATATTTTATGGTGCATGTAGATATACTGATAAGCAAGTCAACTCTAAGCTGACTTTTTTTTTACTGAAATTTGCATAAGTCAGCACGGACAGTAAAGGAGATAGAAACAGACACATGTTCCTTGGTATACAAAAATTATTTTTTTATCTTTTTCACCACTGCTATATAACCTCTTCTACCTGAGAGTACCATTCAGCTACTTCAACGATTACGACAAAGACTGTATTAAAGCATGTAACGTCAACAAACAGGAAACATGATGTAGGAAACCGAGCGTTGTGCCTTACCTATGACAGTCCACAAAAAAACAGCTGTAATGCCCCAACACCGCATTATTCTACGGTGAGCTTAGAAATACAGGAAAGAAAAGCACATGACTGCACAATCTTTATCTCCCCCAAAGCACTGATTGTAGAGAAAACACCTCTTTTGAGTTAATGACATCATCTCTCGACCAATCACATTGGGGCACAGAAGCGTGATATATCATGTGATTTAGATCATATGATCACCTATAAGTTTTGTGTGTGTGTGTAGGTTTTTCTAATCCTAACCATATCTTAACCTCATACACAGAGATACTTGTATTCATTTTATTACCCCTTTGAGACAAATTTGTGATATTAGCCTATGTCAATAAAGTTGATGTGACTTGGTTAAAAGCTCAGAATGGGACATTGGATTTTTATTTGATTGATTTTTTAAAATTTATTTATATAACTGTAGGAATAAAAAAGTCACCCAGGTCCCTTTTAGGGGGCCAGAGCCTACTGGCGTATAGATGAAACTGTTGATTAAATTCATATGTGCAATTCTGTGTATTGTAGTCTTTAACCTCTATTAAAAACAATGCATATATACTGTCGTCATGGCTGCCACTGAACATAAATTGTGAATAATAAATTCCAATATGAAGCAAGTATTTATCACACATAGTTTGAAGCGCCTGCTAAAAGCCTAAAGACTGCATAAAAACAAAACAAAAACAAAGCTTGACACTAGATGTCAGTACCTAAACATATTGCCCAGTATTACATTTTCACAGATACTGAAATGACAGGATGCAGCCAATCCCATCTGACACTGGGCAAGAGCAGTGGTATAACCCTGAAGAGGCTGCCAGTCTATCACAGGGCACACACTTACAGAAAACCACACACCCACACTCATTCCTATGTCAATTTAGAGTCATCAGTCATCAGCTGCATGGCTTGTGGTAGTGTCAGTGCCCTAACTGAAGTCATGGCAACAGAGCAACAGCTGAGCAGCCAGCAGGACACAGACACACCCAGTGTGTGTGTGTTTAGTACACAACAGCTGATGAAAGACAAAAGAAGTGGAAAAATAGTCAGCAAGAAAGAAAGGCTTTTTTTTAATGGTCAAATGATCAGTGACTGTTATTTGCACATACAGTAAAATATCATAATACAGATCACAAATGGAAAACTTTTATGGGTTACTTTTTTTTCAGCTCAGTCTTCTAGGTTCAAACTTCCAAATTCCAATATTTCTGAATTATATTTGAAAAACATAGTTTTAAGTGAAAAAATACCAAACTTCTCCAAAATACATTTTGACATGCTTACCTGTTTCAGGATATGATTTTATAGTATATCAACTGTGTGGGGCTGAGGGTAAAAGAGAGACGAGATAGAAAAACAAGCTAAAAAATTGACATTGCTATGACGCTGTATCTAGATATTGTGGTACACTGAGCTGCGTGCCAATGTCAGCATACTACAGTAACATGCTTATATTCATCAGGCAGTGGATACCCATATATTCACCATCAAGATTTAGCATATTAGCATTCGTTAGTTAGAACTAAAGACTAAGTACAGCTGAGAGCACTGGGAATGGCATTAGTTTAGCAGGTAATTGGATAATTTGAAAATATGAAGTTAGTTAGCTGACATATGATATCATCAAGTCATCCTGAGGGGAACATGAATGTCTGTACTGTAAAAAATTTCACAGCACCTTCCAGTGGTTGTTAAGACATTTCAATAACACCGGGCAGCTCAGTCAGTGACAAACTGCTTTACCCCAAGTGTGTGATGGAGCATTATTGCAGGTCCTTCCTTCCTGCCGCTGCCAAGCTGTACAACCAACAGTGCTTGCAGGAGACCCAGGCCCCTACATGTAATTATTTAATCTTAATGTTCTAGTTCTTTCCCCAGCTTGGCCTTACATTTTAATACAGTCAAGTAAATTGTGGCAAATCAATATCAGACCTTTAAGTCTTTTACAAAAACTTTTACACAGTTTTATAATAAATCAATTACAATTGCACAGATTCAAGCTTCTTTAGTTCATTCTGCTGCAGTAATTTAAATCAAGCAAAATTGCTGGGTAAATCTATTTAAGTACTTTTTAGAGGACAAGAAAAATTGGATCAGTGCATCATGGCAACATTTTATACCACAAGTGCAAATCTACCAATTTCAAAACAGGCTGCAATGACCAATTGTTTGATTTAGTAAGCTCAAGGACAAAAAGGCATAGCCAGTCACTGGCATATTACATGAAACACATTTTATTGCTTATTTTGTGTTAAATAATTACAACAGTAAACTCAAAACACTGTTTTTATACAAGAATACAGGAGTATAAAAAGAAAACATCTGTATTACAGGGTAGTATTTGAACATTTGTCAACAGACACACACTCAGCCACACATACATATCACCTCATATGGTGGTTTTCATTTTGCACTCACAAATACATTCACTGACTTGTTCACAAACACCAATGAAGGACAATTTATGTCTCAAAAGGTTCATTCCCATCTTAAGTCTCTTAAGTTTAGTGCTCAGAATACTGCTTATACTCCAGTTTCGTCCTTGACAACCATTACTCCAAAACAGTCTTCACATTGTACATGTCAAATTAACATTTAAGTTACAGGAGGAATTCAAAAGTAAAGGCAAGACAAGACATAATCCCATATCAGACATGTTTTGTTCTGTTTTGATCCTCATGTGGAGATTCAGAGTCAAAAAGATTGATACAAATTGTGTCTTAGTGGTGCCGAGTGTAGCATTTCAACATCAATAAAAGTTCACCACATTAATTTTGACACATCACTCTAAAGCTGTAGACAAGCTTCCTCACTGTGGAGAGGACTGGCAGGCTCTACTCTATATAGACTGGAAATGTGCCTGTCAGATGTATGACAAAAGAAAAATAAATTTTTGTGGCATGAAAAGAAGATGTTCTTAGCTTGTGAAATCAGATTTGCAACATGAAATGACAATTGTGGGAAATGTAGTTTGTTTTTTTTGAATGGCACTAATAATATTAGTGGTGTGAAACAAGGGGTTATGGTTTAGTCCCCCTCAGCAGGAGGGTAAGGGAGAACTGAGGTAGGACTCAAATCTGCAGATCCAGGTGGTAGTGAAAAAAGGTGGTTTATTGGTGGCAACGCAAACAAAGTCAACACGTAACAGAGTCAATGTATAGTACTGAACCAGGGTTGGACAGAGATGGCTGAAGAGAGCAGGACAAACAGGTGAGTAGAAAGGCTAACGGCAGGAACCAGGAGAGTAGGAGGTTGCATGGAGCTAGGAGTGTTCAGCTTGTTTTTTCACTGCTCACAGTGAGCGCTTCACCCTGCCCAGATCAACGTTTTCTGCCCTGCAGGTCAGTCCATTTTGAGGCCTGGAGCTGGTGAGAGTTTGAGGGAAAACAGACGCTCATCAGATACTGTTCAGTAATAGAACAGCAGTGGGTGAGCTGGGAGAGGAGATTTCAGGGTTAATATAATGGGGGTCTTGTTCATCCCCAGAGTCCCCTTCTTGCTTCTGTGCAACAGTCAAGGTAAGCCTGTTCAGACCATCCTCTAGCCTGGCCTCTGCTCCCTTTGCTCTGTCACCTGCAGCACACACACATAAAGAAAGAGCATGCAACTGTTGACAAATCTACATCTTAAAATTAAAAAGGCCTACACCTGTTTACACAGTGGTGGAATGTAACTAAAAGCATTTATTTAAATACTGAACATAACAAATTACAAGCACTTTCCTTTACTATGCTACTTTGTACAAAATTGCTAATTAGAGAAAATGTTGTACTTTTTACATGGTTACATTTATTTGACAGCTATAGTTTTCACATTAATATTTTACATAGAAACCATATAATCAGTATCTAAAATATGATGCATTGTTATAGACTGAACAGCCCAACATACTGTATATATATAACAGTTAACATGAGCTTTATCTCAGGCAACTATAATATTTAAATGGTGCTTACACATTAATACATCAGCAATAATAATCCAGTAGTATAATAGTGCATCAGTAACAGGGCCATTTCATGAAGTAGTACTTTTACTTCCATACTTTGGTACTTTGTTGATTGCTTACATTTTGACATTTTAAGTGCAGGACTTCCTTGTATCATAGTGATTTTACATTGCAGTATTGAGACTTTATCTTAATTACATGTTCTGAAAATTTCCACCACCATTAAATTTATTCAACTTTATTTTAAAAAATTGAATATTTTGCATTCAATTATTATGCACCTCTTGCATAATGAATATAAGGGCGTTTGTTTGCAAATAATAAAACAAATACTATAGAAAACAGTCGCATGACTGTGGGAAACCCTACACCTGAAATCTCTTGAAACTATTTTACCTGCCGCATGAGTCCCTTAAACATGTATTGGCAATGAATAATAGTGTAAGCTCGAGTATCTGTTATCATTTGCAATATAGACTTTAAAAAACAAGTTATGATGACTGAAATGTAGCAGTAATACTGTACAGAATGTATATGAACAATTTCATAGTATCCTGAGTCCAGATCAGTGCTTAACACAGACAAGAACGTTGTTTTGATTTTCCAATCTCACTCTTAGAAAAAAAAAAGAATAAGCATATTTCCCAAAATGATTAACTATTTCTTCAGTGCTCCTCAACAAAGAGAACAAGCATATTTCCCAAAATGATGAACTATTTCTTCAGTGCTCCTCAACAAAAATATACAATGTTTCCAACATATAGGGTGAAGTGTCACATCAGAAGTAAACATAAACACACACTGATGTGATGAACACACACCTCTCTCTTGGTCGCAGTCTGGAGATGAAGCTCCACTGCACTGGCTGCGAGGACCCAGGAGAGGGGAGGTATGTCCAGAATCGCAGAGCAAGTCTTGGTCATGAGATCTACAAGGGTTCACTAAGTCCAGGCCACTGGGACAGGAGAAGGAGAGAACAGAGGAAAAGGAAGAGGAGGAGCGATAGGAGCAGGGGCTGTAGAGCGAGGAGGAGGGATAGGGGTAAGGCACATCGAGAGGGGTGGAGGCAGAGGTGGATGGATGGGAGGAGAAAGAGGAAAGTGAGGAGTGCATTTCTTGGGGTGAGGAGGCAGAGTGGGTGTCTGACTCCTCCTCTGAGTTGCTACTGTGACTGTCCTCTTCGTCCATTGATACTGACACCACTGAAACACACACACACACACACACACACACACACAGTGATATGTATTTTAAACATGCGAACACACAGATATACACCAACTAAAAACCAGAAAAAAATCATTATGTGGATGGATGGAGTGGACAATTTTTATCTCCAACCTTCACTTACTTGACAGATCATCTGACTCCATCTTGAAGTTGGTGATGTCATTGATGCTACTGTCTCCCTCTGCACCCACACCCTGCTCCCTGGTTCCCATGGTGAGGGAGCATCGCTGGGCATGAATCTCCTCAGAGATGCTTTCGAGCTTGCGTAGTGCTGCACGGTACTCGGCCTTAGCAACCACAAGTTTGGTGTGAAGGCCATCCACATGACACTTCAGTTGCTAGAAAAAACTGTTTCTCAGTAAAACTGTACATATTGATTAAATATGTATTTTCACATACAGGAAATGTGTTCCCTAAAATTAAAGAGCATGGCATAGTAGTGTCAGCACATTGACTACTAAGCTAGCACACTAAGAGCTGATAGCTCTGTGAGGCTGTATTTAAGCACAGTGGAGCTTTGAGCTAAATGCTAATATTAGCATGGTGACATGCTCACAGTGACAATGCTAATCTACTGACATTTAGCAGGCACAGTGTTTACCTCATTTACCCATTTGGAAATTAACTCAAAGAAGTAGGCTCATTGGTTTTGTAGGTATTTAGTCATAAACTGTTATTACTTTTAATTTTGAGGGGCCATGAATGAATGAGAGATATTTACTGTATATATTTTGTCTGGAACAAAGTGGCAGACCCACAAAGTGACCAACATTAGTGTGGCTATAAATGAATAAACCACTGTGTTTTTAACAGGTTTGGCTAAAACTATCCACTAAATGGCACATGTAGCAGTCATAAAATTATGATAATGTCAAAACTTATAATTAGTTTTTAAGCCTGTTAACTTACATACCTCAAGCTGTTGGTAATACTTGGCTTTTAGTTCAAAATATGGTCTGTAGGGGGAGAAGACAAAGAATAATTGAGAGAGAAGGGAAGAAAATGGAGAAACCACTGGAAAAATAACACTCCTCTATGAGCAGTCACATTCCTTGGCTCTTACAAAGCGAGCACACCCTAACACTGCACAAGCAATAAACATCTGGGCTCCATCAGATGACATAAACAAAACCCCTCTTTCTCTCTCTCTTTCTCCCACAGCTGCATATAAAGAGGTCCCAGCAGGGGCAAACCCATTTCCACTCTATCACAAAGGAAACAAAAACCTGGATTTGTTGATGGAGCGTTTGAGTTTCTTCTCTAACTGCCTCATGTGGCTAACACAGGAGTTGTAGTTGGCTGCTGTTTTTCTGTGTTCAGCTTCACTGTGCATTCTTGCCTGCTCTGCCTCCATCACCTGAAACAATCCAGAAAGAGGGTTTATTTAAACGAAGCCAAATGTAAAAAATTCCAGTGTAATAATGCTGTCTACTTCTACTTTCACTATTTCCAGTGTCAGCAGCAGGTTAAATTGTCTTAAGCACAAATTATTTGTTAGGCTGGAACCGTTTCATATTTTCCAACTGTGCTGCATCTTGTCTGTACCCTCTGTGTAGTATGGTTGAGCATTTCCTGCCAGGCAGAATCAAACTGGCGGCTGTCCTCCTCCAGCAGCCTCCGATGGTCTCCTTGGCTGCCCGCAAGATTTCCACTGCACGCTGGTACTCCTGAGTCGCCTTTTGGGCTTCAACCTGGGCCTTCGGTTTAAAGAGAGGGGTAGTTACAATCATACCAAATGTGAAATCAAAGGAAGGTGTCCTATTTGGAAATTGACATCAGCTTTTAGGTGGTAGACATTATTGTTGTGGATCTCAGCATTTCATGAGGTTGGCAAGTTGGTCCAAAATTCATTCTCACATGGTATGAGTGCAGCATTAGTCCTTGTGCTGCTTCCTATGTGTATATATGTGTGCTTGTGTATATGTTTGCAATTTATGCAATACATTTGCGCTAAAGGAAACATTGTTGATTCCTCATGACGACTGTGAAAGGTCAATAGACAAACAGAAGCTTTGTCAGAAAATCTGAAACACTCTCAGAGGGCCCTTCCTGCCCACAGCCACCATCAATAGGAGGATTATTCCCATCATGTTGGACATATTTGGACCCACTCTGACAGGCGTGAATTAAAGGTCATTTTATTGGCTGAATACAAAGATTAAGCAGTTACAGTAACTCCAATTAAATTCCCTGAACAGTTCTTACTAGTAAATCAAATGGAGACCTTCATCTCTCTAAAAAAGGTCTAACTGAGCTGACAAAACAACAGCATTGATGTTAGCCATACAACTCAAGCTGTTAGTTTGTGCTATAACTCAACATGTCAGACATATTACAAACAGCAGCCAAAAAAATAACAAGCTGATTCATTGTTTTTATATATATATCTTGTAGGTTTCATTTTGAGGAATTGTGACTAACTCTGCTCCAAGTTATCCAGTGTTACACAACTCTGGACCCTCCCACTGAGTTTTCCCCAGCTTTTTGTTCAAGAGCTTTATGAGGTTAGAGTACTTTTCATTCAGTAATTGCCTGTGTTTCAACTGTACAGTGTAGTGCTCCACTGGAAGCAAACTTGCTGGTTTAGTTTGTGTTTCCTTCCCTGAGCATTTTGAATAGATTATTGTATACCAGTGTTACTGTACATCTAAATTGACATTTTAAACTGTGAAATATAGCTAGTATGTTAAAACTATAGAATATTTCAGTTTCAATACTAAACAGTTTGCAAGTGTATTTTCTGTTGAGGTAGTTCACAGTACTAGTAACTGAATGAAAGTTTAGCATATGATTACTTAAACCTACATACAGTACATTTGTTTTGCCCTGTTGGGGCACTGCAACAAGCTGCAACACAGCACTGATGTACGGTCACTTTACAAAGATTACACAGCAGGTCTAACATCTTAGCAAACAGGTGCTTAGTTAGAAATCCAAAACACATTAGCATTTATTTAGAGTCTCTACTAACCCAGAGAGAAATATCAGGCTCTGTAGCTACTGAGTTCAGCAGCTAGTTGCTACTTTTTCCTGCATGAACAGATAGTAAATAGGTTAGTGGGATTATCAGAGATTTTTCATTGAAACAGCTACTTGCTCCATCTGGAAACAAAGAGAAGAGTCTGAACATGAACTATGAACAGCAAAGTTGTAGGGTGTAAAACCAAAACCATGAGCTAAATCATGCTAATATGCTCTGAAAGTTGAGGGGAGTTGCAGAGTTTGGTGATCATTCTGTGTTCATCACTATAAGTGACACTTTTCACACTGAACAGTTTTAAATCACCAAACTCACAAAAGGTCAGGGTAGCTCTCTCTGCTATAACATATTCTTCTCATGGGCTTTCCTGACTTACTGTTACAATGAAACCTGTAACAGTGTCAGCCATGTTTATGACAAGGGCTCAATCTTTGATGTGAGCAACATGAGGTTTGCGCCATGTCATTCAAAATATATAAAATCCAAATACTGGCATCTTTTGTGTCTATGTAGCTGTGATATCTGCGTGCTGTTATCCAAGGTTGTCAAGGCTCCTTCAAGAAAATGAAGAGACAGAAGACAGGAGTAGCTGCTCGAATCTGTGGGCTTGATACTGTATATCTCCAAAGATGAATGCCTCCTCTTTGTCTCCCATTATGACCCACTTCCCAGGCTTTTAGAAGAGACGAGGGTGCAGGGAAAACAGAAATCGAATGATGGATATTTCACAAGGAGAAACCAAAAAGGAACAGAGGCTATATATCCATCAATGGCTTTGTCAAGTTAGAGATAAAAAGTCAAAAATGCTTATTTTTCACTGAATTTCTTGGACAGAGTAGCAACACACTTCCTTTCTGATTAGGTGTTAGGTGTATTCATAAAGCTTCAGTGGCAGCTCAGTGCTGTCATTAAGCTCACCAAACACTGTGGTTATATGAATCTCTGTCTTTCATTACATTTACAAAAAAACAGTTACACTGATGACAAATCTTTAACACACCGCTGAATAACGCACATCATATGCAGTTTTTGCAGTTTGTCTTAATAACTTTGCACCCTGCAGAGTATGAGACAGCATGCATGTGATGAGTATTGTTATCAGATTATTAACTTGATGTCATGTAGACCACAATATCTGACTGTCTTTGAAGCAAACAATAGAGTGGTTTTAGTCTGAAATACCACAACACCCTGTCACCTTGTACATGCATCATTACAGTTCGTATCATCCTAGAACAGTGAGTTTCTGATGTGTGTGTGTGTGTGTGTGTGTGTGTGTGAAAAGTCAAAGTTGTATTTGTCATGATTCGGTCTGCTGCTTCCTGTCAGGCTTTTATTTTGACCTTACTTCCTGTTTTTGTTTCACCTCTGTTTCGGTCTTTTTTTCCTTTACTAATCAGTCACATTAGTTTCACCTGCTCATTATAGTTTGCACCGCATTATAAGCAGCCTTCACCCACCAATCCCAGCCAGATTGTTCTAGACGCCACCTCTCACTCTCCAGCATTTTTCGGTTTTGGTACTTTGTGTTTTTGACCCGGCTTGTTCCTCTGACTATTCTGTTCTGCCTTGCCCTCTTGCTTCAGACTGTCACTGTGTATAATTATCGGACTTCCCTTTGGACTACGTATTTGGATTCCTCTGCTGTATGTGTTTGCTGGCTCTGATCTCGGACTGTTTATACCGACCTGTGATTTTTGTGTTTCACCGTGTCTTGTATGGTTTTGTTTAGCGTTAGTTCTCTTATTAAAGAGACGGTTTTGTTTTACATTTCCTTGTCTGGCCTTTTAATTGAGTTCACCCTCAACATTTTTGGCAGCATAACGCGCCGATTCCTGACATGTGGTGTGTGCGTGTGTGTTTGTCTTTATATACTTGTGCGAACCAACCCCTGATGGAACACCTTTCTTGTGTGGACATTTCATTGGTGACTTTCACCAATGCGGTTTCTGTACTATGATGGACTCTAAATCCTGACTGAAAATCCTCAAACAAATCATTCTTGTGCAAGTGGTCACATAACTGCTTTGCAACAGCTTTTTCAAGGATTTTGGAAATAAATGGGAGATTGGATATTGGTCTATAAGTAGCTAGGACACCTGGGTCAAGAGTAGGCTTTTTGAGTAGAGGTTTAATTACTGCAACCTTAAAAGCCTGTGGAACATAACCGGTTAATAGAGAAAGGTTAATCAGATCTAGTATGGATGTGTTGATTAGGGGAAAGACGTCTTTGAGCAGCCTGGTCGGGATGGGGTCCAGGAGACATGTTGATGATTTAGATGAAGCAATTGTTGAGGTCAACTCAGAGAGATCTATAGGGGAGAAGTAGTCCAAGTATAAATGAGGTCTTAAAGATGTTTCTAAAGCCATTGTAGTAGATGGCACATCTGCGAGAGCTGTGGGAGTGGTCCAACCAATTTTTTCTCTAATAGTTGTGATTTTATTTGTAAAGAAGCTCATGAAGTCATTGCTGCTGAGATCTAAGGGAATGTTAAGCTCAACAGCACTGTGGCTCTTTGTCAGCCTGGCTACAGTACTGAAAAGAAACCTGGGGTTGTTCTTATTCTCCTCAATCAGTGATGAATAAAATGCGGTTCTGGCACTATGAAGGGCTTTCTTATATGTTATTAAACTATCTTTCCAGACTATGAAAAACTCTTCTGACTTAGTGGAGCGCCACCTCCTTTCCATTTTTCGTGATGCCTGCTTTAGGGAGCGGAGCTGCGAGCTGTACCACGGGGCTAGCCTCCTCTGTTTCACTACCTTCTTTTTCAGAGGGGCAATGGTATCAAGTGTATTACGCAGGAAGGCTGCAGTACTATCAACAAGATTATCGACTTGTATGGGAGTAAAGTTAAGGTGGCCTCCTTCCACTGTGTTGGCAAACGGCACTGAAGTAAATAATGATGGAATTATTTCCTTAAACTTGGTAACAGCATTGCCAGATAGACATCTGCTGTAGTGGAATTGTTTCCCACATAGAGTATAATCCATTAATGGAAAATCAAAAGTTATTAGAAAATGGTCAGACAGAAGAGGGTTATGGGGAAAAACTATTAAGTGTTCAGTTTCGATGCCATATGTCAAAACAAGATCAAGAGTGTGATTAAAACAGTGAGTGGGTTTATTTACAGTTTGAGAGAAGCCAACTGAGTCTAATAATGAACAGAATGCATTACTGAGGCTGTCATTGTCAGCATCTACATGAATATTAAAGTCACCTACTATGATTATTTTATCTGTACTAAGCACTAAATCAGACAGAAAGTCTGAGAATTCACTTAAAAACTCTGAATAAGGAGCAGGTGGACGGTATACAATAACAAACAGAACAGGCTTTTGAGTTTTCCAGTTTGGGTGTGAGAGACTCAGGGTGAGACTTTCAAATGAGTTACAACTATGTTTAGGTCTAGGTTTGATTAATAGGCTTGAGTCAAAGATCGCTGCCACGCCACCACCTCGGCCTGTGTTTCGAGGGATGTGACAGTTACTGTGAC